TGGTTCATAGAGAAAAAAATGTGACAATGAATGTATGTATGTTGATATACAACTGAAAAATTGTGCTCTACACTGGAATTTGACACAACATTGTAAAATGACTGCTACTCAATAAAAAAAAGTTAAAAAAAAATCCTCAAGAGGCAGTATTTTGTCCCAAACAGACAACTTAAAAGCTCGGGTGCTCTGGAACACTAGACAGGGAGAGCTAAAAATAACTATAAGGAAAGGGCTTCTAAGTAATAAGAAACAAAAATAAATAAATGAATAAATATTTAATTTGACAAATGGTCACAAGAAACGTCTGGAAGCACTTTTCCCAGTGCTTTTCCCAGCAAACCTTCTGTCACTGGTTACAGCAGGTGTTTCCAGAAGGCCATCAAGGTAGCCAGAGAAACACAGCAGAGTCCAGCCGGAGAAGCGGTGCCCCGCCAGCAGGCGAAAAGTGGAGGGGCACTTAAGGTCGCCTCACTTCTCTTTCAAGAATGTATTTGTTAACTCTAGTCCCAGTGCTGTGCATCACATCCCCAGAACCTATTCATCTTCCCGCTGGAAATTCATACCCTTTGACCAACCTCTCCCCATTTCTCCCACTCCTCCCCCAGCCCCTGGTAACCACCATTCTACCCTGTTTCTATGAGTTTGGCCTTTACCTTACAGGATGGCAGAGAAGGCAGCAGCTTGGTAAAGTCGCCTCCGCTCCTAACACGATAAAAATTGCCGAAAGCAGCTGGGACCCGGAAGGCTGACTGGAGTCTGCGCAGAACTGACTTGCTCGTCCCGTGTTTCATACCGCCGCCCACCCAAGGTGCACGTGACCCATTGACGCTGTTTGCGCCTGCGCATAAGAACCCATCACTCTCTCAAACTTTGTGACCGACCGCTTTCTTCCGCCTTTTCTTCACCACCCCAAAACCCTAGAACTTAAACTACCTGCCTCACCTTGCTGTCAGGGAGACAGATTTGAGCCCTACCTCCTGTCTCCTTGCCGGTGGACCTCGGAATAAAGCTTTTCTTTTCTCAAAAGCTGGTGCCAGAGTACTGGCTTCTATGCACCCCCGGCAGTGAGCGTTTTGCTCAGTAACAATAGGGTGTTTGTCTCTGACTGACTTCACTTAACATAGTGACCTCCAGGTCCATCCATGTTGTCACAATGGCAGGATTTCCTTCTTTCTCGTGGCTTAATAATATTCCATTGTATATGAAAACCACTCTGTTATCCACTCATCTGAAAGTCATTAAGAAAGTAGATCTTTTTAAAAAATTTCTACTGTATAGCACAGGGAACTATGGTCAATATCTTGTAATAACCTCTAATGGAAAAAATATGTAAAGGAATATATATATGTATGTGCATGACTGGGACATTGTGCTGCACACCAGAGACTGACACATTGTAACTGACTGTAATTTAAAAAAATAAATAAATAAATAAGTAGATCTTAAATGTTCTCACTACACACATACACACACACACACACACAAAAGGTAATTGTGTTACATAATGTGATAGAGGTGTTAGCTCACACTGTAGTGTGTTGGTTCAAATCCTCAGGAGTTCCTCACATCAAATCTGAAACTGGCCCCCATACACGGACGGCAAGGAGAGACAGAAGGAAGAGGCAAACCACTCCAGATTGGTACACAGAAGGCTTAACAAGCAAGGGAACTTACACACAAGGCTTGTCTTGGGCGCCTGCAAGATGAGTAGATCTCCATAACCATCCACCAGAATCTTAAAGGTTTCTGTAGAGGACTTACCGGGATTCAGACACGTATTCAGTCCAGGTGGCCTCAACAACACATTGCTTTCTAAAGGCTGCATCCTTGAAAATGTCTCCTGCTATGGGCACGGTGGACAGAAGGTACATTCCAAGGACAAAGGAGGCGGTGACGAGCCCTCGATGCCTGGGTCCAGCTCATGGGTCACACGGCAGTCACGTCCTCTTGATTACCTCCTACAACACAGTGGCAATCATCTTGTAATACACAAGTGTGTGCCTTAAGCTTACACAATGTACTATGTCAACTATAGCTCAATGAAGCCAGAAAAAAAGTTTTAAATCAAATATGTAAACAAACACACAAACATTCTACAACCCATAATTTCCATCTCCAGATAGATTCTTTTCTATAAACTGGAGGAAACTGAACACATCTGCCTAAGGAAATGTGTACAAGGAAGTTCACTGAAGCTTTCATTATAAAATATGGAAATTATCCTTATTGCCTATAAACAGAAGATGGATGAAAATCTAAGGCATATTCATGTAACGGAAAGCTATTTAGTAGATAAAATTTATGAAATACAGCCACGTGAATATATGTAGAGAAATCTTTGAAACAATATGGGGCGGGGGGGAGTCTCCTGCTATGGAAAACACTGAAAACATCTAAATCAGTTCCCTACCACCACTCATGGCCTTTCTCTCGCCTTTTGAAGCAGCCTATACTCTATGCGGTATGCATCGCTCTAAATAAATCTACCTTTACTCAATAAATAGATAAATAAGTAAATTCCCTATATTGATGAAAACACACAGAGATAGTGAATGGGTAAAAACATTGGTGGAAAGAGGGGTCATCAACCTAGAACAGCTGTTACCTCTGGAAAGGGAAGTGGGGGATTGTGTCAGTACGGGTACAAGTGTAGCTACGACTGTGTCGTTAATGAGTTTTTACTTTAAAAGATCTGAAGCAAAGATGTCAAAACACCAATATTTTAGGGCTAGGGCTGCTAGGCTCCCACTTCGTTTTGGTCCTTCCCCTATCTTTCTCAGTCTTTAGGATCTGCCACAAAAACAAGGGAAACTATTATTATGAGCTTTGGGCAGCTGTTGGTACTGTTGGGGCCTTAAGTAAATGGGTTTGGTTTTCTTTTTTTCTTTTTCTTTTCAACTATTTTTTTTTTAATGGAGGACTGGGGATTGAACCCAGGACCTCGTGCATGCTAAGCATGTGCTCTACCACTGAGCTACGCCCACCCCCTTCTGGGTTTGTTTTTTGGTTTTGTTTTTCATATGGTTGTGAAGACTGAACGTTAGTCACAGTGGGGAGTGTTAAGAGTAAAAGAGTGTGCTGAAAGTCAAGGAATGCAAATATCCAAGGAACCCTACATGAGAGAAACTTTCCATTTAATTAGGCAGATGCTATGTATTTGCCTCTAGGGAAATTTCCAACTCACATTGAGAGTGTCCAAAACTATTGGAACCTTAGAGAAGAACCAGGAAAAGTATCATCAGCAATATAACATACCTTATTTAGTAACCTGGACGTAAAATGTGTATGAAAGAGCGATAAGAAGAATTAAAATACTTTGAAGGACAGAAAATGATTTAAATGCAAAATGGTTCTAACTGTAGGTGAGTGTAGTTTTAGTAGCGTCTAGCATCATGTATAAACAGGGTACTATTTTAAAACTTCTTTGTTCCATGTCCATTCAAAAATGTAGAGAATTCGCATTTTGGTTTAACAATAGTAAGCAGTATTACTAAATCCATGGCACTCTTGCAAGAACAATCGTAGAGATTGGGGGCTGCAAAGATAGAAAATGGCTTTGGTCAAAATTGTATTTAAATCTCACTTCCGCTGCTTACTGGTTGTGTGACCCTGGTTGAATCATTAACGTCTCTAAGTCCCAGTTTCTCATCTATTTAAGAGGAATGCTTAATTAGCTAATCATTTCCCACATTGTTGCTATAGGATTAAATAAGGTAATTCTATGAAGTGCCTGGTGTATGAGGTATTATTTGTGCTTAATAAATGATAAATACTTTGGTTATTATCAGCAAGAAACAGAGGTGAAAATTCTTCCTGAATATCACACAGTATTACAATTAGTGGGAAAACAAAAGTCAGCCAAGTGTTTAACTTGTGGGATGTACCACTAGTCTGACTGCATTTACTAAATTGCTGAACTTTTACAGAATTTACTGAATTTTGTTTTGTTGTGAAATAGGAAGAATCTGTGTCCCTGGATATGTTAAAATCAGCCTGATGATAAACTCATCAAAAGCACCTCTCATATTTTGTTGATTCAACAAAAAAAAAGTTTAATAAATGTTAATCTATTGAACTATTCTCAGTGTCAGGAAAATACCGAAGTTTTATGATCTTAGGGAAACTCCTGAACTATGGTTGAGTCAAAAAAATTAGCAGTAAGTATTTAATTAGTCCTCAGAGGGTACGTGGCCTTTTACCAGGCATTTCAGAGAGCTATTAAAAGAAAGTCGTGATTTCAGCCTTCAAGGGGCTGAAAATTCTTTTAATTAACTTTCTGAGGTACAGCTGTCATACAGTAAATTGCATGTGTTTAAAATGTACAATGTAAGTTTTGACACAGGTATACACCTCTGAAACCATCTCCAAAATCAAGACAGTGAACCCATACTTCACCACCAAGAGTTTTTCCTCCAGACCCTTCGTAATTCCTCCCCTCTACTCCTCCTGATTCTCTGGCAACCATTGTTCTGTCTTCTGTCACTATAGGTTAGTTTGCATTTCCTGAAATTTTATATAAATGGAATTATACAAAATGTATTCTTTTATGCCTGGCTTACTTCATCAGCGTATGATTTTGAGATTCACTCATGTGGCTGTATGTTATCAGTAGCTTATTTTTCATTGCTCAGTGGTAGTCCATCCATTATCTGGATATACTATAATTTGTTTATTCCTTCACCTTGTGATGCCATGTGGATTGAATTCATTTATGGACTATTATGAGTGAGGTTGCTATGAATATCTGTGTGCAAGTCTTTATATAGACATATACTCTCATTTATCTTGAGAAAGTACCTGAGAGTGGAATGGCTATATCAGAAGATGTATGTTTAACCTTTAAAGAAATTGCTCATCTGTTTTTCAAATAGGTTGTATGTATCATTCTGCATTCCCAGGAGCGGAATAGAGGAGTCCCATTTCCTCTATATCTTCATCAAAACTTGATATGGTCAGTCATTTATTCTGATAGAAATATAGCGCTATCTCATTTTGATTTTAATTTTCATTTCAAGGGGCTTAAATTTGAATGATCAGATACAAACTTGTCATAAACTTGAATATATGAAACTACATAAACTAATTATGAGTGGCCATTAAAAAGGAGAGTGAGTCAAACTTACTTTAGAGGACAGCAAGCCAAGGGAAGAAGACTTCCTAGGGAAGACTAGTACAAGTTAGTTATTTTAAAAATTCAAGAAACCTCTGTTTTCCGAAAGCTTAAAATCTACTTTAAAAACTGGGTATATAGGCAATAGATGAGAAAGTTCACTTCATGCTGGAATGATCAAGTTTTCCAGAAGGATGGGATTTGAGTTGAGTAAGATTTCAATATGTAGAAATGTTGGAACTGCAGTATTTTCAGGCAGAGAAACTAAAATTAATATAAGAATATAAACAGAAGATTAGAATCATTTGAGGTACTACAGAAATAGTGAAAGTCTCCTTGCCTCTGAGATTTAGGAAATTGCCTTGAATACCTTTGATTTCAAGACCAGTGGTTCCCAAAGCTGTCTCCTGCCTCCTGTGTGCTTGGTTCTGTCTCCTTCGCACGATGCCCCTATATCACACCGTGAAGACCCTTAACCTAAAACTGAGCCTCTTTTTTCGACGCATAACAAACCTCATGGACATCAAGCCCCCTGGGGACAAGCAGATTTTGAGGGTGACTGTAGACTGTGGTGGTGAAGTGCGGGGAGCCATACTGTGCCCTGAATGGCCTTCTTCTAATTGGATGGCTTTATCTTTCCTCTCCTCTGTCCTGCTCTGTCCATCTCTGCCTCTCCCCGCTTCCTCCTGCCCCCTGAACCGGGAGCTTCACTGTCTCTCCATTGTGCTGGGCAGCTCCACCCTCCTCGAAGACCCTCCTCTGACACCCCAGCCACTAGGGAACTCATCTTCTGCCCTAAGCACAAATCACACATTTCCACAGTTTACTCTGTAGGAGGAATTTCAATGCTAGTTTTTAAGGAATACCATTGGCTCATTACAAGTTTGCTTGAAGCTGCAAAGGGAGATAAAAGGAGACAGTCAGTTGCTCGGGTTAAAGAAAATCAAACGTGGGAAAGACTTCCTGGAAGCCAGGTGTCAGTAGCAAACAGATCAGAAATTGTCCTGCGTGGAGGCCTCCAACCTGGTTGCTACAGCCACACCTTTCTCTCCCACCATGACTGGGGAAAATGTAGAGATCCCAAGAGGGTCACAGTCAGCACCGCTTTCTCTATCACACACTCCCCTCCTCCTCATGGAAAATCACATGGTTTTCACTTTTTTAAGTGGTCAGAAATGCATTAATATAAAGTGGGTCTAAGAGGACAAATATACTAGAAAATAGTTTCTGGAATATAAAGGTTTACCAACGGGGAAAACTTTCAATAGAAGTCCAAATTGAGCCCAAAATGGTGGAGCAAATCAAGGCGATCACAGAAGCTCTGGTGGTCAGGCAGATTAAGAAAGTTAGCAACAGGCTTCAGAAGTGGGAGACTCTCAGAAAAGAAGGTTCTAGGGAACAGAAGTACAGTCACTAACAAACTAGGGTTTAAGGCATGGAAACATGTTAATGGAAACTGGTTTTCCAATAGGTATTAAGCAACCAGGAAACATACCTGGGATCAGTTTCTTGGAGCTCTAAGGTCAGATTTCACAGTAATAGA